ATTCCGTGACAGTTCCGTAAAATTTCGTACAACCACATTTCGCTCCGGAATTACAGAAAATATACGTCATTTTTAGTGAATACGAAATCGGCCGCGCGTGCTACGCACGCGCCTTCTCATCTTATCACGTAGTGGCGCTTCGGTTTCAGTCTTACGCTTACGCTTATTCGAGATTTTCGAGATATTACGAGATCGATTTCCTTTCTCCTTTTTACGATAAGATTTCTCTCCGTGCAGTGAAAACTGAAGTTTCATAATTTATTTCTGAAAATTACTAATCAACTTGCACGAAATTAAAATTTTTTCCAACAGTGCAAAGTTGAATTGCATTCTAGAACTCCATTCCTAAACTGATTAATACGTCAAGTATTTTTATTATTACAACATGAGTTCAAAAAGCGAAGGGGACCATCGTATCGCGTGACAATGAGAAATCACACGGCTCGCGTATTCTCGCGCTGCAATTTAAATTCGCATAAAACGTCAATGTTTCCCGAGTAATCGTTATACCGGAAGTTTTATGAAGAAATCCAAAACTCGAGTGGCATTCCTAGCGTGGGATATTAGCTTTCCCTGCGGCTTATTTATCGATCTCAAGGATACGAGTTGGTGAGCGACATTTCGAGTGATGCGGATGCCCACGCCTGAGTGAGGTGATACTGCGCCTGGTCCAACTCCCTGCGTAATCCCCTTTTTCCGTCTTTAATTTTTACACCTTGTGCATATATATTTTGTCCCTTTAAATATGGCAAGCCACAGCGACAAATGGAATTCGATACAGCTGAGCTGTTCGGACACACTCGATATCGCATTACTCACTTCCATGAGAGAGTCTTACGTACACTGGTCTTTCGAACAAGGTAATGGTTAACAAAGGAATACGATAAAACGTCAGGTGGCGAGATTTGTGGATACGTGTACCAGGCGGGAGAAGTAGTCTTGGCGGCAAATACATCAATGCTGGGTGACAGAATGATGTGGATGGATAGAAATGTAAAAAAGCTGGGATTGAAAATAATTCTTGAAATTTAAGATTAAAAACCCAGAACTTCTTCGCAACGATAAATTCACGTGAAGTTTCAATTCACGTTGTTATTGACGAATTAGTAGAGTTATTGGAAATTCTACTGAATGGAATATTTAATTTTCACGATTGATTTGAAAATTTAGACTGTTATTGAGTGATAAAATGTCAATCTTCACAGAAAGAAGCAACGATTAACATTCTGTTGGATTTTGATTAAAATAAATTCAAAATGCATAAAAATGATAATCCACTTGCATTTTTTAAAAATGTGATCGAAAATTTTTTACACTTTACTTGAATTTCAAAAAAATTCTGAGTGCGGTAATTTAATTTTGAATACTGCAATATATGGTATTTTCTTATTTTCATCATTTATTAATGAAATACTATCGAAGATTGCTAAAGTTCATTCAAAAGAATAATAAATCTGGTAATACATTGGAATAAAATCCAATTATTAAATTGAATAAGAAAGTGGCAAATGCTAATTTAAATCATTGTCTTTTCCTTTATTTATATAAATTACTCAATACTGCACATTGAATTCCCTTGAATAATCTCCAGGTTTAGAATTTAAAAGAAGAACAATTTCCTCACCTCAGTCATCTGCTCAAAGAACCCCAGGAAATTTCAAGTGAAAAAGCTTGAAATTTTGAACAACGATCAGCTCACATGAAATTTCTGTATATTTCTTCATCGACGAATCAGTTACTTTTGCGAAAATTCAAGTAATTCTCGATTGTCAGGTCCATACGGCACTGGAAAACCTTGAAAATTCAAGCTTTTATTGAAAAATCAATGATCGTTTAACATGCAAAACCCCAATTTTCTTGAATTTTCAAGATGAAGAAGAAATTTAGTGAACGATTTCATCTGAAATTAAATTCAACCTCGCAACATCGAAAATTCAAAAAGTTTCTAACACTAATGATTTAATTTCAAACTATTACAATCCATAACAACACGTAACGAAATGTAACATTTAACAATAATTCAGAGAATATTGAATAAAATCTCCAAGTTCCGTCATTACATAAAACACTCGGGCGAAATTCCTGTAATTTATAAAAGAAAAACAAGTAAATAAAAGAGTTAGTGGTCATTAAACCAGGTTCTCTTAATTAACCCTTTGAGCTGCACCTCATAATGACTCTCGCTACAAATATTATGGTAGAGCAGTGATAAACTGAATGAAGAGAAAAACACTATGACTCACGAAATAAAATGGTGAAAAATAATTCAGAAAAAAACTGCGCATTTGTACCTTCCAGTTCAGTCATTGTGACTGTTTCAGTTCTATATGTATACTTGCTTCAGCGTCACACACGCGGAATATCAAAACCTAATGACCGTTGCCTTGACGTGACTTGCGCCAAACTGTTATTTCGCGAAGTGCATAGCACGAGTCACGGGTCAAAAGCAACCTGCAGCATTATTTTTTCATCATCGCTACAACGAGGAAAGATAAATAGAGAGGAAAAATGAAAAGATAGAGCGTGTTTTATTGAGCTCAATCTTTTTCACTTCCTGACA